ATATATTTAATGTATAATGTTTACAATTTATAATGTTATTATAATATTTTAAAATCATATAATTAATATAATATTAAGAAAAATCGATAGAGGATTTGCATACATAGAAAATAAATGTGTTTTACTTATGGCACATATTCGTAACAAAGGTGGTACTCATAGAAGGAATGTGTGATGCAAAGTGATCGTTTGCACCAAGAACAAGTAATTATAGTAGTTTCGCCACAAATATCGCATTTAGGATCTTTTTTGAAACAAAAATCAACCGATGTCTCGAACTCTGGCGGTCTAGTCTGTAAATATCCACTTTTAAACCATGCAAATTTAAATAAATTTTGAAACCTAGGTGACAAGAATTGATGGTGTGTTAATGACTGCAATTTCAAGATATTGTTCTTATTATGAGGATCAATTGCAAGATCGAGTAACATAACATTATCAGAGAAATATTTGATAAAATTTTTCCACAAACGGAAGCCATATACATCTAGTAGTTGTATTTTTCCCGTTGTACCAGCTGGAATTGTTAGAAAATATATATCTGTTACAGAATCTGGTCTACTTTCGGCAATTATGTTGGGACAATGACTACTCCAAGAATCTAATAGTAATACAGATTGTTCGGAAAGGCCCGACGTTCGGGAAGAAAACTTCTCTCAACCAAGTTTTTACATTATTTGATGTTAATTTACCTGACTTTGAAGCCATTATGTAAATGTTAGGAGCGTTAAATAATAGACAATTAATTAAATAACGATTGCTGCACTCGTGGACCAACGTTCCTGTGGATTCTTTTAATACGATGAAAAGAGGCGACAATAATCTACCATCAGCAGAAATAGTTGGCTGTATTGTGTAACTATGCGTGGTTGCGGATACAGACTGTACTACAGATTCTATTTTTTTTGCACCTTTATTTGCTAAAGTACGACCGGCGTGAAGTTCTAACTGGAATCCACTCTGATCCGAATTATAAATATTTTCTACCCCATATTGATTAATAAAATATTTAACATTTGTTGTAAATGTTTTGCACTTATTTTCCAAATCTGATTTTAATAACAATTTTTTCGTGACAAATTTCGTTATTTTACGAGATACTATATTATGTTGTTTTTTTGAAACTGTGTATCCACGTATGTCCCTTATAGAAATATCATACTAAGAATCATTGATAATTACTTATTATCCAGTATTTTTAATACTGAAAATAAGTAATTATCAATGATTCTTAGTATGATATTTCTACAAGGGTAATATACTGTGAACACTATAAGGTAACATTATATATGCATTAATCGTAAGAACATCGTTGGAGTCATCAGAGTCACCGCGTGCACGCTCGATCGTCAGGTTAAGCAACAGTTTAATGCGGTCAGGACATGAATGGGGTGACCAGTGGTATACTACTTGGGATCGAAATTATCGCAGGAGGATTCATGAAAGTTTGGAATGTGTTAACAACCTTCGGTATCTAGTAGTTTATGAGACATGAGAAAATTAGGAATATAAGTATATTTTTGTAAACATTATGATTTTCTCATTTTTCACTTTCGCATAATAATTCTCAGTATTTGATTACTATCAATATTTAACAATGATTTTATTATCAGTATTCACCAGAAATTAAGTACTGGCCAAAAAATTACAGAATTACTGGTAATATTTAATCACTAATAATTTTTCAGTATTTCTTAATATGATATTTCTATAAGGGTTTTATCAATCAATTCGTCTATCGTCTCTGTAAATAGAGCTGAAAAATTCCATATCAATGTACCACTATGCACACAATAATTAACACAATGAAAATAAAGGGATTAAAGTTTCGATTGCCTCAATTCTATAACAATGTAAAAATAATTATCAGTCTTTGGAATAGAATATTGTGCATATGACAGATTGAGGTTACATGTTGATATTATCGAACATTTTTTTAGTTTGAAATTATTGGATATTTTAATATTCACACGCACGCATATTGTGGAGAAATGATTAATGTTTATATTGCTTCAATATTTTTAAGGTTTACGTACCGTATTTGATAATTGCAGCGACCTTATTTACTCTCAGACGATATATGCTGTACGCGCACTTGGAACCAAAATGGCGGTTTTGAATACTCTTCTATATAGTGCCTTATTTATAGATAGGAGATTATACTATTCTCTCGGATCCAGATCTCACTCATTATATTTTCATTATCGTAAGCACCCCATGACGTCATTTTTGAAGAATAAATGTGCACTAAGTATGAAAGTGTAAAAAGTTCAATTAATGCGAATAAACTTGTTAGATATTAGCTATTTTCAGACAGCTCACTCCTCCAAGAAACGTAAAAATATTCTGATAACGTCCCTCCATCCTAAAAGCGTCTTCAGAACGTATTTTGGAAATCTGTGTTATTTAGGGGTTTAGATTCTTCATCCGGGTGCACTCTATTACTAGAAACACTATAGTATATGTTACATATACTATAGCACTTCTAGTAATAGAATGCACTCGGGTGTGGAATCTGAACGCAGCCTAGGGTGCACTAGTGTGCAACGGGCATTAGGTGTAAAAGTGTGAATAGTACAATCAATTCGAACAAACCTAGTGACTTAAGAGACGTCTACATTGGAAGTAAGCAGTAAGAAGTAGGAAGTAAGAATAAGAAATTGACCAATCATAGTTATTCTTCTCACATTCGACTGTGGTTGATCAATTTCTTACTCTTACTTCCTACTTCTTGCCATTTACTTCCAATGTAGACGTCCCTTTAAAGCATCTTCTACAATGGCAGTAGGAGTAGTAGTAAAAAATAAGCAGTAAGTAAATAGACCAATCACAATCGATTATTTTTGAAACGTGAGAATGGAATTGGTCAATTTGCTTACTGCTTATTTCTTACTACTACTCCTACTGCCATTGTAGAAGACGCTGAAGGGGAAGATTTTAATTCAGACTGTACTAGCCAAAGAAAGAACGCTGTTCGAGACCTAGGCTGCGTTCCGTTTCACGCATATTCGTGCATTTATCTATAGTTCATGTTACGTATATTGTAGGCAATGCGCGCA